CTTGCTTCTTGTGCCAATACAGGTGGTATTTACCCATTTTCTGCCTTCCCCATACGTCTTGTCCTTCTGTTTTAGCGCAGGGTATTCACATGTGGAAGAGAGCCCAGGTCCTCCGTAGGAACAAGGGAAAACCCCAGTTTGCTGGCGCGAGCCAGGTCCCTTCTCGTTCTCGTAGCCGGGCCTGCTGCGGCTTAGGTACCGCCCGGGGTAGCACCGGGTGCCTCTCCCCGCGGACGGAGAGCAGGGTCACGCGCTGGTACCTTGCCCTCGCTGAGCAACGCTTCAGCTGTTTCCCGCGGTCCTGGCTTTCCTAGATAAAGAACCAAACGGAGGAAACGCTCAGGCAGTGAGCAAAACCCAGCACATCCAGGCTGCCAGTCCTGGAGGTCACAGCGGGGCTGGATGCATCAGAGCCAGCAGGCTGTGCGAAGGTGGGAGAGGAAAGGGAGATTACCCCAGTACAAGATGTGCCCTTCGCCGCCGCTGCTGTGTAACTACCTTTTAATAAATCCCAGCTGGCAGCTGCATTTAACGTTGACGTTTTTGGCAGCTGCCATTTGATGTTCCTTTCAGACTGTAGACGCTGTCTGTCTTCTTAATGAGCTGATTTTTTTTTTTTTCCTGAAGACAGATTTATGTTCTCAAACGCATTTAATAGAAATAAGCTCAACGGGCCAGACCTGAGGTAGGGAAACGTCAGCTCGTTAGTGTGCCAGCCGGTCGGGAGAGCTTTGCGATGGCTCTGCGTCCCAGCTGGGGCTGTGACCGGGTGTGCTGGGGGCAAGGAGCAGCCGCGTGGGTCAGGCGGAGCTCGGTGCTCCTGGAGCAAACTCAGCTCAAGTTAAGCTGCAGACTCAGGAGTTGAATTTCCTTCGCAGTGCAAAGTGAGGAGGTTTATTCCTGCGGTGGTTGGCTCCGCCGGCCGCTCCAGAAATACTCGGGAGAGGCTGCCTTATTTATGGAGCCGTGCGTGCCATATCTCAGATGTTTCCTTCTGTGCATTCCCCTACCCGTAAAATTAACCCCCAGCTGGCTGTGCTGGTGTCCAGCCCACGTTAGCCCAAGTTCGTGCACTGCTCAGGCTGGAGGGACTCTGGCCTGGAGTTGCCCGTTGAGCGGCAAGCAGAGAAACCTGCTCCGGCCCCACGTGCTGTTGCACCAGAAGTGCTGGTGCAGGGTGCCTGCGGTCTCCGTGAGCAAGGTGCATGTGCTGGCGTTCGGTTTGCACGATGCAGCCGCAAAGCGGAAAACTGCTGGTTCGGGCAAATTCCTCGTCTCTTTGAGCTGGAATTTCTGGTCCCTGTCCTCCCCCACCGCAAACCCAGCGTGCTGGGCATCCTCGGGGAGCTGCCGGCCTGGCTGCCATCCCCAGCCTGCTGCTTGCCAGGGCAGGGTGATACTTTGCTGCTTTTATCTTCCATGAGAAGAAGTACTTTAAGTGCTCTGGAGCACGAGCAGATGCCGGGAGCTCCCTGACTCCGTGTGCCACCACCTCAGTATGTGACGGAGCGCAACCTCTTCGTCACCTGAGCATACAGTGGTAGCCTTGGGTGCGCTCTCCTTGCACCCTTCCTCCTTGCGAGGCTGCCTTTTTTAGCCTGAGCTTTAGTCTTTTCCACTGCCACGAGAGCAGCACAGCACAGTGCCACAGCAGGCAGAACTGGCAGGCGGTGGGTGCCCTGCCGGAGACCCCTCGCCGGCCCCCTGCTGCCACGGGGAGCAAGTGCACCCGCTGCTTGGGCTGGGGGCACTCGGGAGAGCATCCTCCTCCTCCTCCATCCCACAGACCCCTCTGGAGAGCAGCCCGGGGAGGCAATGCCCTCCCAGCCCTCGTGTCCCGGCCCTGCTGGGTGCCGCGTCCCCCCCAGCTGGGGCGGCGCGCAGCATTCGCCGCCCGGCTGCTGCGGAAGCCGGAGGTGTACGAGGGCTTCCCCAGGGACCCGTGGGCTGCGGGGAAGTGTCCCTTCCTAAAATTACAGGCGCGCATCGCAGTGGGAGGCCGAGGGAGGGAGGAGAGACAGCGTTCCGCCAGCAGCTGCCTCTCCCGGGAGGCAGACCTTCAGGCAGCGCTGCCGGCGGGGGGCGGGCCCCGCACGCCCAC